ACTGAGTTCAGAGAGGTTGCCAAAGTGGAGGGGGGCAGCCTGGGCCGAGAGATGGGAGGGGGCACTCCTAGCCCCTCCCGGTCCAGGTGTGGGGCCAGGCCAGCTCAGCCCCAGGGCTGCCTGCAAAAGGGCTGCTTCAGCTTTGAAGCCCAGCAGATGGTCAGTGGGCGGACGGGGTGGTGGGGGTGGTAACTGGGCACGCTTCTGTCTCCGTCCCTGACTGGCCAGGGTGGCATCGGGCAGCTTAGGAAAAGAAAGAAAGGAAGTTCATAGTATGTTTAGGTGTGTGTCATGTATGTGTTTCTCTTTGAGAGCAGGCAACTAAATTTCATTTTTGATGTGTGCCACTGTGCCCACAGTATAAAAATGATAATAAAGGTTATCTTATCTTATTTCTTTGGGCACCTGGCAAAGCCCAGCCGGAGGAAAATTGGGTTGTGGAGAGAATGCACTCTTGTAAAATTCTCCAAGTTTGCTTCATTTCAGCCAACCCTGCCCCCCACAGAGGCAGGAAGGGGAGGCACCCAGGAGAAAGCCATGTGGGTCCAGCCAAGGGGCCCAGAAGCACCCGGTGCATCCTTCCTGTGGGGAGACGCCAGCCCTCCTGTCCAAGTGACCAGTTACAAGCAGGACGGCTCCACACCGGTTCCTGGCACCAGTGGGACCCCCAACTGCCTCCCCAGGGCAGCTGCCGACCCTCAGCAGGCAGAAGTGTGAGGGACGGCACATGCACACACACACACACACACACACATACCCACACCCCACTGAGCTGCCGGTTTCTGCCCTGTGCTTCCCTGTGGCTGAGCCGGTCCCTTCAGGGCTTTAGGGATTAGCGGCCGCACGTCACTCTCTGTCCTGAGGCAGAAATAGCCCCCGGGGGAAGCCGCTTTGCAGGGCAGGGCAGGGCCAGCGGCAGCTCAGCACCAAGGCCGGGGAGGCTGCCCGAGGGCAAGGCAGGCCGTGGTGTGCGCAAGTGCCAGCGGGCAAGGCTGCCAGGACGAGGACCGCCAGAGCGGGGATCTGCAGAAGCTCAGCCGGGCAGTTGGGGGGGGATCCTCAGGGGTCAGGTCATGGCATCGGGAGGACAGCACAACCACCCTCGCCCACAAATTGTCGTGCTTTTGCACATCTGCTTCTGGGTCCGGCTAGAGTAGACCACCTGACATTGGCAGAGTGAATAGCACAGATCGACAGCACCCGATGCCCCCTGGGATCCTGAACCAGGGCTGACGTGGATCGAAGAATTACACCGTGATGCCCTCCTGCTGGTTGTGATCCGCTTCTTTGGGGGCCCTGCCATGGACAGAGGTCACCAGATCTCCTCAAGACCGGATTGACCCCGTGAAAGGGCTTGCAAGAGCCGCCAGGCTACCTGTCCTGTTCCTCCCCACCCTCCTATGGTGACCCAGCCTGGGCAACCCCTTGCCAAGAGCCAGGGGAAGCTGCACCTCCCTTGCCAGCTAGGCCAGGTCAGGCTGTGACTTATGGCTGCTGATGTGCTGTCATTTTGGCTGGGAGCAGAGATGGAGACAGCAGGAGGGGCCTGGCCCTTCTCAGAACACCCCCACCCTTTCCACCAGGGAGATGGTGGCCTGGGCCAGGGCAGGGGTCAGCAGCTCTGCCCACTGGGCTAGGACCCAAAACATGGCTCTCCCCTTCTTCAGTGTCTGAATGTGCAGCTTGTCTGACTCTGGATTAGGTGAGCCATTGTCCCCCCCCCCACAGCCTCTGCATGGATGTGAGCACCCCCACTCCAGGGGTTTCAAAGGTCTGGCCTGGGCATCGCTGCCCTCTGACCGGCCTCACCAGCTGGGCCCGGCCTTCTGTGCAGCACGACTCTCCTTTCGGCAGCTCCCTGGCAGGCTTGGCTGCATCAGGCAGGGTCTCCGCGCACCACCACCCTCCCAGCTCTCCAGTCAGCTGGGCTTCTCGGGGTCAAGGGGCCGGCAGCTGCACCCCCTCCTCCATAGTTGGGTGCGGTGGCCCAAAGGATCTCCCCCCCCCAGGTCAGCCAGGCAGGCCACAGCCTCTGGGCCTTGAATGGATGTGACTTGAGGATGGAGGTCTTTGGCGAAAAGCAGCACCAAAGGCCTGCCCCTCCCCTTGCAAAGCGGACACATTCACACATACAGGCAAAGCACAGGAGGGCTACAACCGCCATCCTTTGACCTGGGCGGAAGGGCTGAAGGGCGTATGCTGCGCTTGGTGCAGGGGCAGCTGGCACTGCTGGGGTGGCCCAGAGCTCCCCCCCCCCGATACTTCTAACGGTCAGAGGAACTCAACTTGTTTTTAACTAGTTACCAAACTTGTCTTTTTTTTATTGCAGCCAATTCTAGGGGGAACACCCCCCCCTCTCTCTCTCTCACACACACACACAGACACACACGTCTTTTTGGCACAAGTTGAAAATGTGGGAATTCCAAGATAGCAAGTAAATCTTTTTTTAAAAAATGGGTCACCAAACCAATTCTATGAAACCAAAATGTCTGACATTTAAGGAATGCTGCCTGTCTATCTAGAACTGGGGTCTCCAAACTTGGCAACTTTTAAGACTGGTGGACTTCAGTTCCCAGAATTCCCCAGCACTGGCTGGGGAATTCTGGGAATTGAAGTCCACCCGTCTTAAAGGGGCCAAGTTTGGAGAGCCCTCTCTCAGGATTAGATCCCAAGGTCCCCACCTTGTCTAAGAGCAGGATCCTGCCTACCTTCTCTTAAGCTGATTTTCAAGGGGAGGAAAGATTCAGATGTTATTCAACATCTGTTTAATAATGGCAATTGTGCTGTTTTCTGTGGGGTTCACCCCCAATTCACTCTCCACGGGGCTGCAGAAAAAGAACACACACACACACACCAGTGTGAGTCCAATAGTCTCCTGCAGGCCTGCTGACCCAGACTGCCCAGGGCTACAGCCGACCCCTCCAGTGGACTCTCGGCAGCTCACAAACACAACAATACACCTGGTGTTTATGCTGAGGAGTTTGTTTACTCAGTTCTCTCTCTCTGTCCAGCCTGAAAGGACACGTTAACTCCAACTCTGGCACAAACAACCCCAGCGAAGGTTTATCAATGGCCAGGAGTTTGATCCTGCCCCATCCGATTGGTTCAAGGCAGGTCACGCTCGTTTCCCAAACAGAAAGGGGGGGGAAAGGCCACGGTGTTGTTTGGGCGCCAGTGGGCCCTGAACCTCCCCCCCCTCAGGCCTCCCCACCCACTCGGCCTCCCGAGCGGAGGGGGCTCCCAAGGGTGGTGCCCTGAGGGGAAGACCCTGCGTGTGGAGGGCCCACCACTGGCAGACGCGGAGTTTCAAGCACACTCGCGCCCACAATGGCTGGGTTCTCACAACCTAGGTCATCCCACAGCCAGCTCACGAAGCACCCTGGCTAGTTCAGACAACCTGCGGAGCCAAGCAAAACCTATTCCAGCACAAACTGCCAGTCCTGTTTCTGCCTGGACTTGCATCTTGTCTGAACCGGCTCCCATGGATGATCCTTCCTCCCACCCCTGGGTTTTGCAACCCGACCCTTCAGACAGCCCAGCCATCATGCAGGTTGAGGAGAGGAGGTCGCAGGTTCCTTTGGTCCCTGCGATTCCTCTGACTCTGTTCATGGTTCCCCACCCTGGCCGGCCAGCCAGGTGCTTCCCTCCAAGGAGCCCAGGCACAGCCCAGGTGTGAGTGAGCACCGGCCGTCTCGTCTCCCCCTGGAGCTCCAGGCAGAAAGGAGGACCAAGGGCCACCCATCTTCATCCTGGCCTTTCTCTCTCTCTCTCTCTCTCTCTCACACACACACACACACACCCCAAGTACTGGGGGGGGGGCTGCACTGCCCCTTCCCAACTAGTCTGCACAAGATTTCTGGGCCACCCCTAATAGGTGAGGCTGGCGGCCCCATTTCAGGATCAGCTGTGCCACAGCCACCAGTCCCCAGCAGGGAGCTGGGTGAGGAACTTCTGGGGTTCTTTGGGAGAGCAAAATCCGCACTCAACACTCAATGGCGGGGTGGGGTGGGGGGGTGGCGGGGAGGGGAGAGGGTGCCTCCTCTCTTGCTTGAAGCTCCTGAAGTACAGAGAGAGACACCCAGAGAGCAGACAGCCTCTCCTGAATCCATTTATGTATCCTTGACCTCAACGTGGTGATTTTGCCCTGGGGTGTCACTGTGGCTTACGAAGCCTGGATGGTAGGTTAGCATCCAAGAAACCCAGTTCTCTCATAAATCATGGCTAAAACACAGCATCCCACGCTGTTTGACAGGATGGTCAAAGCGGGTTACTGCCCGATTGTAGCCGGGCTATGCTCGGCATTAGTGCTGAACCTTTGGGGGGGGGGAGGAATTCTGACCTACTTCACAACAGGAGCTGCAAAATACAGTACAAGCCAAGCCACACTAGGAGCAGTGAAGGGGGGAGTGTCCTTTGCTCCCCACCTAACAAGGGATTCCCTCAGGAAAGGCGCGGGGGGGGGGAGCAGCCACTCACTCCTGGTGTCACAGCAACTGGTATTCAGAGATAGACTGCTCCCCAAGATGGAGGATCCATTCATTCAAGGAAAATATGAAGAAGATTATAATATGCTTTCTAAATCCAGAATGTCGATTTAAAGGCAGAATTCAATCTCAGGTCAAGCTCGAATATTTTAAGTAAGTGAGAAAATGATCCCAGATCCCAGGCACAGGGGATGCCCGAGAGATCCGCTCCGGCAGAGACCGTCCATTCCTCCCGTCGGAAGGCGACGATACCAGGCCGGCCAAGGAGAACCAGCCGGTTCAAGCCTGAAGCCTACCCTGCAGGGCTGGCTGGGCAAGCGCGGACCGGAGTGGCTGGGAGGATACTTTGCCCTCCCCGGTTGGAAGCGGCGGGCGGGCTGGTCGGAGCCAGCGGCGCAGAACCCCCGCGAGACCCGTCGCGCACCCACCGCCCCGCGCCCCTCGCTCCGGGGGCCGCGTGTCTGGAAAGGGCCCCGCGGGCCCGGCCCGTCCGCCCGTCCACCCGCCCGCGCTCACCTCTCGGGTTCCAGGCCAGCCTGGCAGAGCCGGGCGTTGTACCGCTGCGCCGCGGTCCGGTGCCCGGTGTGGAGAGGCGCGCAGCCGGCGGAGTCGAGCCGCGGCGTTCTGGGGCTGGCCGGTTCTTGCACGGGGCCCACGATCAGGCTGTAGTCGTAGGGCGCCATCGCCGCCTGCCCGTCCATGGCCACCTCGACGGCTCCGGGCAGCCCGGGCGGCGGCAGCGGCGGCGGCGGGAGACGCGCTCCGGCAGGCGTGGCGCTGGGCGGGAGCGGCCGGGAGGCTTTCCACGCCCGCGCCCAGCCCGCCCCGCCCCGCGGTCCACCTCCCGGACCGGGAAGGGAGGGCGGAGGGCTGCCAGGCTAAGTTCGGCCCGCCCAGACCCGCCCTCGAGGCCGGGACGGGGCGAACTCTCTGGGCATGGACAAAGTGCGAATCCTCTCTCCCGTGAACTCGGGCGCTCGTTTTCCCCGGAGGCTGTTCCTGCCTGGAAACCCCGAGGGGCCCCGAGTCCCCTCGCCCGATTCCGAGGCAGGGAGAAACGCTGCGGTGGCCCCCGGGCTCGCGCGGGTGTCTCGCGGGTGCTTCGTGCTTTCCGTGTCGCCCGGAGTTCCGAGACTGCGGCGCTCTAAAGGCCGGATCGACGCCCGGGCAAATCTGCCCCCCCCCCCGGCAGATGCCAGGTGGCTGGCTAAGGCGCGTCAGGCCCCGCACCCGCCCGGCCGCCTCGCCCCCGCCCGGCCTTTCGCTTCCTCTTGCCACGTTTCGCCGCGGGGCCCCAAGGTCGCCCGCCGCCTCTGCCGCCCTGACCCCGCCGCTCTTCCCGGGCGGGCAGCGGGAGGCGGGCAGAGTCGCCCCGGAGCTTCTGCGTCCCTCGCCCTCGGAGGCCTGCCCGGGGAAGGGGGGCGACGGGGGGGGCCCTGGACCCTTTGCTCGCTTCCTTCGCTCATCCTCCCCAGCAAAGCGCCAGCAGGTTGCTTGAAATAGCGCTCGCCCCCCCCCCTCCGCCGGTGCAAACCCTGCGTAACCCCGGAGTTTAACTCCCATCCCGGAAGACGGGAGGGGGAAGGTTTTAAAAGGTCTTCGGATATAACCCTCCCCCCCCCCGGGAGAGAAAGCGGAGTCCAGGACGCGAAGCCCTCAGAAAAGCAGCGGGCCCTTCTCGCTGCTTGGCAGGGGAATGCGGGGGGGGGCGCGATGCCGGCCGGTGTCCGCCCCCTCGGAAGCGCCTCGCCGGCGGAGAGCGGGAAGCGCCGGCTCCACTGTGGCTCTCGGCCGGCTGCCCGGACACCCGGACCTCCCTCTCCGGCCCGCCCCGCAGCGGCTCTGGGCCAGGTCGGCAGACTCCGCGCTGTGGACCCTGCGCCCCGTGGGCGGGCACGCGCGCGCGCGACAAGTAGGGATGCGGAACGGCCGTCCGGTCGGGAGGAAGCCGGACCCTCCCAAAAGGCCGGCGGTGTCCTTGGCTCCGCATTGGGCGGCTTCCCGCCGGGGCCGCGGCCGTCGGGGTGGGAGAAGGGGAGCCCCGCGACGCCTCTGCCTCGGTCTGCCCGCCTCCAGCGCGGGCCCCGGCGCGTCCCCCCCAGGGGGGTTCCCCTCTTCCGGCTTTCTGGGGAAGCTGCGCTTTGGGGGCGAGAAAGGGGCGGCCCCGGTTGGCTTTCCTGGCATAAAGGGGGAGGCGGGGGGGGGAGGGGGAGTTAATGTCCGGGCTCTGAGGATTCAGGGAAGCCACCCAGCCTCGGGGGTCTGTCTGAGTCCCCAACTGCATCAGGATCAGAAGGTTTCCGGGAAGCCCCCTCGGGTCTGCTCTCCCCCCCCCCACTTCTCGTCCTTTGCCTTTTACAGGAGCCCTAAAACTTTTATTTGTCCTCTTCACCAGCCTCCCGGATCCCCTAGAAAGCCGGCAGGTGGGTGGCAGGAGGTCGAGGGACCGCGGTTCTCCCACAATTCGGGTGGTGGTGGTGGTGGTGGTGGTCATATTTCTTTGGCTCTTTTTATTAGACTGTTATTTAATTTTTTATCCGATGCCATGTTTGTGTGCTGCGTGAGGAGGGCTGCCATTCATGTTAAACAAACAAAGGGCTGCGGTTTGTGTGTGTCCCTCCAGCTTTCAGTTTTGCCAGGTTAGGAAAAAACGTCAGGGAAACACGTAGACTTTAAACCTGAACTTTTTTTTAATTAGGTATAATTCCAGAAAAAAAATGGATACACAAAGTGTATATTTATCATTACGTGTATTAACAGCAGCGAGGACTGTATTTGCTCAGCAATGGAAAAATGAAGAAACACCACTGGAGGAAGAGATAATCAAGAAAATACTGGACTGCGCTGAAATGGACAGAGAAAGAGAAAGAGAAAGAAGATACAGAATATTTTCAGACATGGCTGAAAAAACGGGATAGAGAGTAAGAACTTAACTTGTATTACTAAGCAAAACGAATCAACCCAGACAACACGTTGTTCATTAAGCACTAATGAAATGTAATAATAGAAAATTAATAAAATATTATTTAAAAAAAGAAAAAGAAAGCAGACAGGTGGGTTGCAGGAGGTCAAGGGACCGTGGTTCTCCCACAATTCGGCGGGGGGGTGTTCATATTTCTTTGGCTGTTTTTAGACCCCAGGGCCCCAGCCAGCAGGTTTCCCCAGAGCTTCAGGAGAGCAGTTAAAACCTGGGGGTTTTTTTTCATGTAGAAAGGCGTCTGTTGAATGTTGGGGTGCACTGGGGAACACATGGCTTTTAATTTTTTTTAAATAAATTATTATGGTGCTCTTGAGATTGTTGTTATTTGGAGGGCTGGATTTGTTGGGTTTCTTAGATGAGCCGGGGGTTGGACTAGATGACCTCCAAGGTCCCTTCCAACTTTATTATTATTATTAGTCGCCGAGAGCCATAGAGAATGAGCGTCATACAAATATATAGTAAATAACTGAACCATTTTCCCTGCCCCCCTAAATTAAGACCAGATGTAACAATCATAGGCTGTCGCTTCAAAAGATGTTGAGACCATGGAAAAAGTTCAGAGAAGAGCAACTAAGATGATCCAAGGCCTGGAGACAAAAACATACGAAGAACGGCTGCAGGACTTGGGTCTGGCTAGTCTAAAGAAAAGAAGAAATAGGGGTGACACGATAGCAGTATTCCAGTATTTGAGGGGCTGCCACAAAGAAGAGGGGGTCAAATTATTCTCCAAAGCACCAGAAGAAGGACGAGAAACAATGGTTGGAAACTGATCAAGGAGAGAAGCAACCTGGAATTAAAGAGAAACTTCCTGACAGTGAGGACAATCAACCAGTGGAACAGCTTGCCTCCAGAAATCATGGGCGTCATCAGATAACCGCCCGGCCGCCCTCTTCAGGGTGACCCGCTCCCTCCTTCAATTGAGGGGGGGGATCCCCTGGAGGGGAGGGCCGAGGATTTTGCTCAATATCTGCATGACAAAGTCGCGCGGATCCGAGAAGGCTTGGATACCGACTGGTTGGCCCAGGGGGAGGAGACGGAAGCAGGCCTTGAGACGGTTAC